TGCCTACCATATCCTCTAAGCCTCAGTTTTCTCATCTGTCCAATGGAGATGATAATATCCACTTATAACCTTTATCCTCTGCTATAGTATTTTATCCTAACATCCTTTTAATCCTTATCCATTGTTATAAAGATTAAACTTAAAAATGCATGTGAAATACAAAGAAACATAGTTATTATTTTATTGCCATTAGTGCCTCAAGGTCTTCATCTCCATGTCCTGAGGCAATTTCTGCAATTCCTGATCTTGGAGCAATTTCACTATTCTTCCCCCTCATCTCCTGCTCTTAGATTGCTGTGTACTGCTAGCAAAATTGATAAAATCATCCATTTATTCCATTAAACTGAATAGTTTCCCAATGCAAAGTGCTACTTGCATACCTCTTCCCTGATTCTGCTCCCATTTCCGCAAGCAGATGGATGAGCTTGTCTCCTACAGAGAGGAAACTGGGAGTTTGCACATAACTCCCCTGAAATCCCTCCCCTCCAACTACAAACTTACATGTGTCTGCCCCTATCACCCCCACCCCCAAGTCTCAACCAATGTCAAGACTCTCCTCAAACAATGACAAAAGCTCATCCCTCCCCTGGTCTGTACTCTTCAGCCTTTCCTGCGCTCTTGCTTGAACTTCCATTCCCCAGATTTTCTGTTTTTTTCTGGACCACTGCTTTCTCCCCTGTGGCTCGCAGTGTCTAACACTGCAGAGACATCATTCATACTCAGAGGGCATCACCTTGTTCTGGGGTTATTTAAATAATGAACACTATTGTTTTTGCAGAATTGATAAATGCACTTTGCAAACATGGAAAGCAACACAGAAAAATACAAGGAGTAAAAAAATCACTTGAAATCTCTAAGCCAGAGATACTCATTCTGAACGTTCTTATTCAGCTTCAGTGGGAGGTACAGCATAATATTTGATCCTTCTGCAGGTCAGTTCCTCACCTTCAGCATGATCACTAGTCTCATTTGCTCAAGCAACAGAGCAATATTTATATTTATCACACATAATTCTAAGTTTTAGAACAATTACTCTGTGGTAAGTATAACTGTTCCCAAACTTAGAATTACATGTGATAAATATAAAGTGTTTGGACTCGGCACTTATGAATTTCTGGATAAATAGCTGAGCATGCTTCTACATTTTCACTCCTGGTGATTCTACAGCATGTACACAGAGTAAACGTGACTTAGGTACACAAAACCAAAACATAGTTCCCTGCTTAGCCTTCTGTAACCCTTCATGTTACGGAAGCCGCTTTCTCTGAGGTTACTAATGACTCTTTAATTGCTCAACCCAATGGCCTAGAAGTTGCCCTGCTCAGTTTCTCTGCAGAACCTGACACTTTTGGATCACTGCCTTCTTTATGAAAATTCCATCTTTTTATGGCCTCCACGACACTACTTTCTCCTAAGTGCTTTGCTGAGTACTCTGGCCATGCCCCAGGCTCTTTCCTTGCCCAAGTTTCATTCTTGGGCTCACACCAGGATGTTCCCTTGGACTTTTTTCCATTTCAGTGTGTGCTCTCTTTCTGGGAAGACTTACCAGGACATAATTATCACCTACATGTGAACGGCCCCTCCATCTTCAACAATACCATCTCTTCCCCAAGTTCTAGTACCGCATGTTTTGTGGATTGCTAACCATTTAACACCCAATAACACCCTAAACCTGTCCTCCACTTTCGTTCCTTGCCTTGGTTACTGGAAGCGTCATCTACCTGGTCATACCAGTTAGAGTCACATGTCACATCTCCTCTCCATCACTGTGACGGGCATGGGTTGTGTATTCGACAGTCAGCATAATGTAGTAGTGGTCAAGAGCAGACTCTGGAGTTGGAGTACCAGTGTTCAAACTTAGCTCTCCCACTTCTTCATGGGTGACCTCGAGCAAGATTCTTCACTGTTCTTAGTGTATTCATCTCTAAAATGAGGATAATAATTGCAGCTACCTCCTTGGGTCCTTGTGAAAATTAAATGAGATTGTATTTGTAAAGCACTTAAAACAGCATCTGGCACAGAGTAAGTGCTCCACAGGGGCATGTTAATTAATTGGTCTCTGGTTTGTCCCTGCTCTAGTTCACCCTTTACACGGCTAACCGAGGTTTTTGAGAGGCTGCCATTTTGAGTGGTCAACCAGAGGCCAGTCACTGCGCTAAGTGCTGTATACATAGAATCTCATTTAATATTCATAACAACCTGTTAGGGAGGTGTTAATACCCTAATTTGAGAGATAAAGAAACTGAGGCCCTAAGGGCTAATGTACTTTAATCAAGGTCACACAGACTATAAATGCCAGAGTTCAGATTTTAAGTCAGGTCTGTCTATTCCCTGAGTTGGTATTCAAAACCACGGAGTTATACTATAGCCCTTTCCCAAGGCTGAGTGAGGCACTTACTGTTTAAACTTCTTTAAAGACCCCACACTGCCTGTGCTGGCAGGACCTATTCCTTCACAATCTTGCTACAACTTAACTTTATTTCCTGCAATGTCCCTCTATGGGGACTGCCCTTCCCATCCTCCTTCCCTTTGCCATTCTTTCTTTCTTTTGTTCCTTCAACATTTATTGAATGCTTGAATGCTAGCCATGCTGAACTGGAGAAAACTAGAGAGAAGAACAACTTGTTTTCAAGGAGCACACAGTCTGACACAAATCACTTCTGACAATACAATGAAGGGTGCGCACCAGGTGGATGCAAGGCCCAGACTGGGGAAGGGAGAGGAGTGAGGAGGGTGAGTTTCTTTGAGAAGGAAACATTTAGTTATCTTCAAGGATATCCTAGTCAGACAACTTCTTGTCATTCTTTAACGATCCTGACTTCTTGCCTTTTGCCTTTGAGATTGTTGGGCATCTTTCTCCTGGTCAGGTTGTTGTTTAAGACTGTGTTTCAAAACCACCTTCTCTGGGTGGCCATCCAGTTGGATTGTGTTTCCTGGTGCATACCTCAATTACAACACACATCACACCACGGGTTAGCTGTTGGTCTCTCTGCCTGTCTTTCTGACTGGATTGTGATGTCTCCCAAGAAAAATATAGTCTTATTTATTTTGAATTGTCCTTCATTCTCAAAGTGGAATGACCGGCACATAATAGTGCTCAATCAAGTTTTGTTAAATGAAGAGTTATTTGTCTATTTACTAAAGAAAGTGTAATGCTTGAGACCCTTCTGATTCAGAGTAGAACTATTCAGTGTATCCTTCATAGTACATTGCCCAGTGCCCTACAGAAAGTACCTACCGTCAATAAATGCTAAGTATTGGATTGTTCTGTCCCTGAAATATCCAAAGTAATGCTGGAAGTAAGGAAAATTCTTATGAAATTTACTTCTGTACATAAAATAGAATTTTCATGTCCAATTGAGTGTCAGAACTTGGGTTCAGGCATAAGAAAAAATAAGAATTGTTGGTTATAGAGCAAGTATTGAGGATTTCTTTTCTTCCCTGGGTTGGGCCATGGTCCCAGAATCTTGTGCACAGTAAGGCACGAAGATATGGTGCTATTAGGAGCAGGATGCCATAGTCTACAGGAGTTGCTGCCAAGAATCTACTAGTCTAGTCCATCCTGGCTAACGGCCCAGCAAATTCATTTGCAGCTGCTCCTGGTTCCCTCTTCTTAACCGTGCAGCTATTTCCTCTCTGCGGCTGTGCCTTCTTCCTGGGAGCATAACCCTCTGTTTCACCTATCTTCTTCTCCTGGCAAAAATTTACCTCCAGAAGGGGGGGAATTGTTATGGTAAGCAGAGGGTACGGTGTTGAGTTGAGAGGAGTCCTCACTCCTCCTTCTTTTCTTTCTTTTGACCTTAGCTACCTTTCCACCAGAGGTTGAAACTTTTGTATAACAAAAGTCAAAAAGATTCATAGCCTATGCCTATTTTCCATTATGCCTCATCCTTCTCCTCAGAAAATGATTGTAGAGTGCCTACTGGCTTGAATTCAAAGGAAGGGAAAGGGGAAAAATAAAGAGAGGGGGTAAAAAGAGCCAAAAGCAGAGACTGGTATCTCAGAATACCGTCTCAGTCACAGTAGTCCCCTTGTTTCTGGGTCTCATCAAAATTATGAGAATTACAAATTAAGTTACCCATAAGGAATTTAGAATAGTGCTCAGTACATGGACAGTGAGTGTTTAATAAATGTTAGCTGTTATTATCTAGGGCTCCTTCACTGGGGGGAAGGACCTGGGTTTTTGTCCCAAGGCAGGTCTTCCAGAACAATTACTCCAATACTCAAAGTAGGGCCAAGCTGTGTGAAGGATCTGTTGTTTTCCATGTTCCTGGAAGGACAGTTTAGTCTGCATACTGGTCCCATTTCTAGTCTCCCTGGGGAATGAGGTTGCTATCCTACGTCCAGGGGATTCTCTTTCCTCCCAACATTGGTTTCCCTTCCAAAACTACCCCTAATTCCCAGAAAGCTCACTCCCAAGTCTAGTTGGTACATCCACCCCACCCCCAACCCCATCCTGGTCTGAGTCCAGATGTTTTAGTGGCCTTTCTGATAGACCTGGAACTGCATAATTACATTGAAATTCAGAAGCAGCACACACTTTTTGGCACTGATGTCTTCAATTACCTTCAACAAGCACCTAGAACATGTAAAATCTGGTTCCTTTAAGTGCATTTAGCTCTTAACTATGTAGTCTGTTTTAGTTACTCAATTTGGATTAATTCAGATCCATCCTTAAAGGTTTAATGAAAAATAAATATTAAAATGGAAAATATTTGCATAACTCTGCAAATATAAACGTCTTGTGTGGATGATTGTTGCTACAGTATTAATATTAATTGTAATAACAACACTGCAACTTCCCAGGCAGGCGATAGAGATCAGCGGTAAGGCCGAAAGGAGCCAGACGGAAGAGGTCAGGGGAGGTGCCTCCAGCAAGACCGGCCCAGAAAAGGCGGGGCCTTAAGAATTGTATCCAAATCCCGCCCCTTGCTCAGCCCCTTTCGTCGGCGCGGCGTAGGCGGTTACCATGGCGATGACGTATAGTGGGCGGGGCAGGAGGGCGGGGCCATGGAGAGGAGGAGGAAGATGGCGGGAGGGCGGCACTGAGGAGACCTCGGCGGCGGCGGAGGAGGAGGAGAGAAGCTCAGCGCCGCGCCGCGCCGGGGCCCATGTGGGGAGGAGTCGGAATCGCTGTTGCCGCCGCCGCCGCCGCTGCCGCCTGTAACTGCTGGACCCGAGCGGGAGTGAAGGGGAAACGTCAGGATGAAGTTCGCTGAGCACCTCTCCGCGCACATCACTCCCGAGTGGAGGAAGCAGTACATCCAGTATGAGGTACCGGCGGCGGCCGGGGTGTGGGAGGACTCGGAGGGGCCACCGTGTCGCCAGTCCGATCTCCACGGCCGCCTTCCGCTCTTGCTGCCTCCCCGCGCCGGGCGGACTTTGACCCGGCGCCGCGGGGAGCCACTGCGGCATCCCCGCCGTGCCGGCCCCCTCCCGGGCCCGCTGACCTTCCCCTCCCCCGCAGCCCCGCAGCCGCCGGGGTAACGGATATGAAGGCAGTGGGCCGGGAGGGAGGCTCTGCCCCGCGGGGGCTGGGGCACGGCGGTGGGAGGGCGACCCACTGGTGGGGAAGTGGGGTATGAGGGCAGCCCGGGTCGCGGCGCTTCCGCGCTAAGCCCCTCATCCCAGTCACCGCGACCTCTCGTCCCCACCCTGGGGCGAGCACCCCCTCGGCAAGGTTAGTTCTGGGTTCTCTCTCCTTACCTCTCTCCCAGGAACCCTCCTGTTCCTAGATCAGCCCCTGCAGGGATTTCCGTCGTCCCACGGAGCCCCTCGGCTTTCCCCCACTTGCCCGCTGTTGACAAAGGCTTAGGAACAGGGTTGAAACTTGACTTAAATGTGTTGTCACATAGGCAGTGGTTACAGAAGGCAAACGTACTGTATAATCAACTATTCTGTTTCGATAATGAGACTCGTCTTTTCACAGATTGCATGAAGTATACAAAGTAATGACATCTCTGGTTTTGGCTCTTCTGTTGTTTTGGAAGGGAGTGAAGGGGAAAGAGGAAGGAGGAAAGAAGAGAGTTATTAACATTTTCAGGTTTTTTCCCCCTAAAATTTTGTGAACTAGGGGGAAAGTACTATATTGTAAACAAATGGACTTGAAACCATACCTGTGTGTTAACAGAAATCGTGCCCCCCGCCCCCCAATTCCTGTGCCAGCAGCTCCTGGAGAGTACTTAATAGATAGTGATAAGGAACCTTACCACTAATTCAGGGGAAAGTAAAGATGATGAACGCACGTACAGATTCCGAAGGTGAGATACCCGAAGGGCTGTAAGCATTGCCATAGGTTATTCTCAGTAGCTGGCAATTCAGCTCCTGGATAGAGAAAGGACTTGTCTATAATCTCCCGGAAGTCACAGCAGTGTTATGTGCAAGAACAAAGAGTATAAAATCAATATGAACGCAAATGTGCTAGCTAGATTTTATGAAGTAAAATATTTTAGTTCTCTGTTCAATTTCTATTTAAGTTCAGTGATGGGATGTTTAGGCAATAGCACATTAATTCATATAGCAGTTGTAATTATTGAAGAAGACAGAGAAAAGGATGTAGGTAGTAGGTTAAACAGAACCTTGGACGATTATAAAGTAAATTCAGCTTGTAATAACGCACAATATTTGATTATTGCCAGAAGTGAAAGGCCTAAGATTATTAATGCTTTTCTTGTCACTTAATTTTCTTACAGTGTTTTGTGGCTGCATTTAGAAGAATGAAATAAGGGACTGGCTTTCCAGCCTGGAGAGTTTTTGATTTATTGTTCCTAATAACATTTGGTCAGTTTTAAAACCTTGGCTAGAGTCCAGATGATGGTTTTTATTGAGAGGAGGGTATTGGGCTTTCATGTTTCTAGTAATTTTCAGCACCACTGCCAGTTCTTCAAAGAGGCATAGGACACAGCATGCTGAGGCAACGTCTTGCACTTGCTGTATAGTATGGCTTGCTTGATAGGGGCAGAAGTTATAGTGGCTGTATGCTGTTATTCATTTTAAGTATTACAGCACTTAACTGTTTCATAGCATTGTATTAATTTGGCATATCTGGGCTCGAAGTGGAAGCATTCGGTTTAGTCTGCAAACGCAATTACCTCTTGATTTGTAAGCTTTGTGGCTGGAATAGCCACAGCAATTCTGGGACTCCTCATTCACATAGTCCATTTGGATACTAGTCTTAAATGATTACTCCAGGTTGCTCATAGAGGGACAAAATTCCTGAGCTTATGTGTGTGATTGCATTATCTCTCCCCGGCCAATTATAAATAGTTTCATTTACTGCAGATAATTGAAATTTTATTCTGCAGAGAGTCCCTACTATGTGACTCCTGTCCTGGATAAGCTCTTTGTTTGGTAGGCAGAATTAAATAAGGGGCACTTTTCTTTGTGAATTGGAGCCATTAAAGACTTAAAAAAAATAGGGCTAGGATCTGTGAGTTGTATGTGGTTTCTTAAGAGCTTGGTGCTGTCCTTTAAACATACTTAAAGAGGCATAAATAAGAATATTTAGAGTCCAGAAATGTTGGCAGCTTAAAAATTTAGGGAGGGGAATGCATCATAAAAAATGTTAGCCTTTGACAGAGAAAAGAACCATCTTGTAAAGCAATAACACGTAGTCTCTCATGTATAAAGATGATGTTATTGAAACACTCTTAGTAGAACAGAAACCTGAATTTGTTTTTAGGCATGGGTGGTAAAATTTTGGTGTACTACTCCTGATTTCTAGCCTAGGGTGGTTTCTAGTTCGGTGAACCACTATGCTTTATCTTTGGGTTTTGTGTTATTTCACTATATTAAATTTTACTTGAAGTAAGCAGAGCATTACATAGAAGCTGACAATTTTGTTTCATACCTATAATTATATGTATTATTGTGCATATAGAGTCATACAATAAGTGCTAGTTCTTATATATGTTCGCCAGGAGACCCTGGGGACAGTCTTTTTGCCTTTCCAGGGCTCTTTCCTCCTCTATAAAGTAAGACTATAGGGCCATAGCTTTTCAAGGTTCATTGTACTTCTTAGGTTTTTTATTTAACTTCTGACAGTTTTTCTTCCTTGGATTGTTAAAATTATTTGTGTTAGTGACCCATCAATATCCTGAAAATTTTTGGAGTTTCTAATTTAAAAATAAATCGTGTAGTTCTTAGACTAGGTCTTCATAGGCAAAATAATAAAGCATAAAATACTAGGACAACATGGAGAACCATATAAAGAAAATCTGTTTGATTCATTTCTAAATAGTTTTTATAAGGAATAAACACAAGTGAGCATAGACTATTCCTGCTTCCCGTCGTCTATTTGAGTGTGAATCTTGGCATATAAAACAGAACATTAATAAATCCTTGTAAGGATACTTCTTAAAAAATTAGAATCAGATTGTGTATTTTAGAGTTCTGTTATTGATTAATCAAAATTAACTGAGACCAGTTTCAACTTAATAGATTAGTATGACCATGTTAATATTTTACAGAATATGAGCAAAAGAAGCAAATATGTTTGGTTCCTTAGGCTGCTGACTTGTTGTTTCTTCCCTAGGGCCCTGTGCTTCAGATTTGTTTTTATTTTTAGTGTATACTGTAGTTTTGTAAGATACTAAATTAAATGAGGTATCTAACTTTTAGGATTTTAGATTTTAAAGGAAATTCAGAGACTAACTCAGAGACTATCTCCTTGGTTTTTCAGGCAAGGAAACTAAGGTCAAGAGAGGTTAAGTCACTTGTCCAGGTCACATAGAGATAGCTGGTCTCTTGAGCACAGATGTTTAGGCATTGGGAGTCAGGTCCCCCAGCCTAGCTGTGTGACCCTGATTAAATCACTTTCTGTTTCTGGGCTTTAGCGTCTTGATCTATAATGAGAGCCAATTGGATTTGAGGGTTTCTAAGTCACAGCCCTATATTTTCTAAGGACCTATCTGTCTGTAAATTTCTGTATGTTTTTATGGTTTAATTATGTTTGATATATGAAGGGGAAAGAATTTGAAGGGCTATTATTAATAACATCCTTTTAAATTAATAGTGTCCTTTTAAAATTTTTTGAGGAGATTTTGATTTGTGAATGGAAAGCTGACCTAAAGAAACTCTTTTGTTTAACCTAACTTAAATAAACAGTGATGGCAATGGATTCATTTTTTGTTGCAGGGTTTGGGAGAGATTCTGCATAATTGCACATTCCTTATTTTTAAGAATAAGGAAAATTGCCTTAACATTGTCGTGATTTTCATTTATAGAACTCTCCCATGAGAACATATGTGTTGCAGGCTTCAGTTTCCCAAAGGTGTTGTGTTGATTAGTCAGGGTTAACTTGCCTTGCTGGGACTTGTTTGAAATTTCCAGTTTGGCCACCCAATGGGGCACAAACCACCCTTTTTCTTAGTGCTTCTGCAAATGAAAGTACAGAATAGCATATTTAAGATGATACTTGTAAGTGATTGTGTCAGTAAGATGCCTGACATTTACAAATGTTTCTTAAATGAGAAAATGAATGGTCATTAAGACAGAAAGGTATTACTGTTCATTATTGTTTTTGTGTAATGAAATGTGTTAGCTTAAGTATCCTGGAAAGATTATACTCGTCCATCCATCCCTGCAGGTTGGTTTTGAAACAGCCTTTGGGTGAAGGCCCAGATCATAAGAACCTAAGAATCTTATTTGTCCTGGGGTGACCATGAAAAATTAGTTCTGGCTTCAGATCTAGTTCTAATCTGGAAAGAGTGAGAGATTGACTGAGTTGTGCTGGCTAGGGGTTCCATAGATCCCCAAAGGAGATACCCCAAACTCCCATGGAGTAAGAGAAGATAGTATTGGAACTATTAGTTATAGTCATTTTTATACATAAGGCAAGGAAGAAATAAAATTTTACTAATATTTAGTAAGTGGATGATGTGATCTTGTTTAGGAGGTATTCTGAGGGAATTTTTCAGTTTACAGTCATAATCAAGATTCAAAATCAAGTGAATCCTGAAGGTTGAACTAGAATACTATATCACAAAAATGTTAAGATTTTTAAAAATAATGAAGCTTTTCAGTTATGTTGCTCTCTAAAAGTACTGTTATTGGATAATTTCTTAGATTAAAAATATTTTTATATGGCCCTGGCTGGTGTAGCTCAGCGGATTGAGTACGGGCCTGCGAACCACACAATCACGTTTTGATTCCCAGTCAGGGCACATGCCAGGGTTGCAGTCCTGTTCCCAGCAGGGGACTCATGAGAGGCAACCATACATTGATATTTCTCTCCTTCTCTTCTTCTCTAAAGGTAAATAAATAAAATCTTAAAA